CGAAATACACTGCTGAGGGGAGCAGCGGGCAAGACAGGAGAGGTCTGCTGTGCCATGTGGATCACCTTCGGGGCAGGGGATCGAGCTTGCACTGAAGTGGCTGTGGCTAGCTTACAATGCTGTACTTTAACCCCTGTACCACCAGTGAAGACTCCTTTGCCTCTTTTTAAGATTCTTTTTCCTGGGCTAACCATCTCTCAGTTTTTATTTTTGTGAGTGTATTTATTGAGGTTTACTTTTTAACCAGGTGTATGTTCGAAGGGCTTATATTGCCTATGAACTTAACAGTGTACAACACCGCCAGCTTAAGGACAATACCTGCGTGGTGGAATTCCAGTTCATGCTGCCCACATCTCATCCAAACAGGTAAGTTTGAGCTAGTGTGGGTACCTGAGCCAGCTGGAGCTCTATTAGGAGATTCAGGGGGAATAAGGTGTATGACAGTTCTACTCATTTTTAGCTTAAAGTCTAGAGCAGAAAATAGACCAGTTTAAAGTATGAGCGAAGAACCTCTTGCTGTATCCCTTAATTTTTTGATTTTTGAACATGAAAGATAAAGTATGCTCTAATTAAGATAAAAGTATAGGACTAGTTCATTTATTTTTGCTTTTATTTTCACTGAGCTACTATACTTTTTTTTAGTTGTACTTAAGTCAATAGTTATACAAAAATATCTTGGGTGGAATGATTTTCTATATGTTTGCTGTGTGTTAAGGTTATACCCGAGCCAATTTCTTTATCTCTCTTAATATAGACATCTGAATTTAGCAGGTGAAACTCAGGTTTTTAAAACTCACTCTGAAGCAGCAAACTTAAAATTAAATCAGTTACTTAATTAAGGCATGCCAATCCATTATTCTCCCCTTACTAAAACCTTTAAAATATAAACTGTACATAAGAAAATTTCTTTCAATACAGCTTTAATTTTAACATGAAAATACTTTATTTTATTTACTCATTTTTTAAAAAGTGTTCCGAGGCAGTGAAAACCAAGGAATTCCACCTATACATATGTTCATTCGCTCCTACATTTTCATTCTTTTTAGTAATACCACAGGAAATATAAATACCATAACCAATCTGTCCTGCCCCCTCCATTTCTTCTTTATGGCCTTTGGTTCTTCACTTTGTATTACAAAGTACTGTGTCTTTGGGGATCCTTAGCTATAGACACCAGAAATGGTTTTGTTCTGAATTGCCACTTCACCCAAAGCAATAGAAACCCTTGCTAGAGACAAAGAGGTCTGTGCTGAGACTTTTGGCCACTGGATGCCACTGTTGATCCAGCAGAGGTCAGCAGATGTGCAGAGACTTCTTCAGAAATAGTACCTCTCTTCTTTGTCTCAGAAGATCTTTTCACTTCTCTACCTCAAAAATACCTTATGTCTGGCAGAGAAAAGCATATATCCTTGATTTAGCAAGCATCTCTCAGTACATTTTTGCCTCCATGGATTTCACAATCTCATTTTCCAGAAACGAATGGTTGTCCTTCAGCGAGCGCTGAAGTACTCATAACACACATGGGCTCAGCACTCGGTCTTCTTTCTTTTCCTGCATTCCTTGAATAATTGTATGGAACTACATGCTATACGTAATGCTCTTTGTAATTCTCAGGACATTCTCCTTTCCTTCCTGCTTTCTGCTACCTCTTCCCTTTGGGCAGTGATTTGTAGTCAGGCTGCAGAGCTGCTTCTTGATTCCCTTTCCCCTCATCGCTCCCCTTGTCTTTCTGAATTGCTCTCCCTGTCCTGCTTTTTTATTTGAGGACATGTGTCCAGTATGTAAGGGAGAGTTGGCTGGAAAATGAGAGAAATATTTCTTAATTCCTTTGTTAGGAAATCTTGTGCCCATTTCTATCATAATAGTATGGATGTTGGTTATTCCTGATGTGATTTCAAAACTTGTGTACTTGTCCTTCCAAATATCTGAGGTGTATACACACCTCAGTGGTTGAAATTCAGACTTGGACAAAATTGTAGTGCTGTAGTTTCTCTCAAGTCTCCCTGGGTTGTATGTAGTATTAAATTATAAGTTGATAGATTCCTACTAGCATTATAATTATTTTTGGCATGTATGTAAAGGCAAAGATAAGAAACAGATAAAGAAGAAAAGCTAAAATAATCTTTGAAAATAGAGAAATGTTAAGTGTTTTAATATATTTTAGATCTGATTTCTTTTGTTTAGAAGTATAAAATGTATTATCTGATTTAATCACAATGATATGACTTTAGACTTTATTCATTTATTATATATTTCTTACTTGAATTCAGTTTTATGAGAAATTTTATTTTAAAATGTTTCTGTTCCAAAAAGGAATTTGGACCATATTCTGATATCAGCTGTTGTACTGCTGTTCAGTTCTTACACTAATCAGCTGGTTAGATCAGATACTACAAGTTAAGGGCTCAGTTTTCCACAAAACTGCTATTGTTTCAGATGGGGCCATTAGTGGGGTTCTCAAGCCACCTGCAGTACTGATCAGCTGACTAAAAACTTTGGGATTCCCCAGCCTCTTCTGGTTCAGTAATTTATTAGAACAGTTTACAGAACTCAGGAGATCACTATTTCTGATTTCAGTTTTATGATAAAACTTACCTGTCAGAACCAACCAAATGAAGAACCACACAGAGTACAGTGTGGATACCTTCCTAGGATATCAGCGTGCTTGCCAACAAAGACGTTCCCTTGAGCTTGCGTCCAGTGTTCTTATTAGGGTTTCATCACAAAGGCACAATTGGTTGAATCATACACTATGTGACAAATTCCTCTTGACTTTTTCCTCTCTTGGGGTGGGGGGGTCAATTTAAAGTCCTCAACCCTTTTATCACATGGTTACTTTCTGGTGAGCATCCCGTCTTGAGATCTTTCCAATGCTGGCATATAAACTCAAGGGCTCATGATAATGACGTTCCTACTACTTGAGAAATTCTAAGGATAGTGCCTCCCTTTTCTGGGAACCAAGGGCCAAAGCGCAATTGTATTCTTTGATACAGTAGCTCTGTTCCCCTTAAGAATAGAATTCTAGTATGTCTTCCTTTTAGCTGGTTTTGAGGCAAGTTCCAGCTTTTTCCCTAACCCTAGTACTTTTATGTTTTTTACTCCTAGGAAAATAGGCAATAAGCATATTGTCTCTTTTTCTACAGAAATACAGGGACTTACTTACCAGTGTCCATTCCACTCCTTGAATTGCAAGGGCATAGTTTTTTTATAACCATAGCCATTAATCTATTTCTAGATTAATTATTTTCAGAATAATCTGGGGAGTATTTTGAAAAACATATTGGGGTCCTGACTTCCAAGATTCTGATTCATTTTGGACAAAGTCCAAGGGACTACTTTCTGAAAAAGTTCCTCTGATAATTCTGATCAACATCTATGATAAAAATCACTATAACTAGACCAGTGTTGTAATTTTATGACACTGTAATTTTAAATTTCCTATTGGCCACATTTAAAAGATCACATTTATGAAACATAAAATTAATTTTAATAACATTTTATTTACCCCTTATATCAAAATACTATTCAATAAGTAATGAAAATTATTGAGTTTTCCTCATTTTTCATACTAACTCTTTGAAATTTAGGGTGTAGTTTACACTAAAGCATGTCTCAAAGTAGACTAATCGTATTTTAAGCACTTCATAGCAATTCAATTCTAGGTCAAAAATTAAATTAGGACAATCACAGTCCTTTTTGTATTGTGTTAACAGTAGTACTTCTAGATGGCATTTAAAAAAGGACAACTCTTTTGTTGCTTATTTTTAGTAGCTATAGGAAGTATCTACACCTGGTACTTTATCATGCTACAATATTTTATCCATGCTTTAAAAATTATTCAGTGAAGATAGACATCCGGCATATTTATGTAGATATTTTACTTATCAATGCAAAATGGAATAATGTTGGTTTCCCCACATTGGGGTTGACAAACCAAAAGTCTTGGGGGAAAAAACAAGTACATTCTTTTACTTAGTTTTCTATTTTTCTTTCCTGGTGCTTGGTCTTCACATTTCTAGTCAGGCATTCATTTGAAGTAGACTAAGTTTTCCAAGACCTTAGAAGTGAATATCTTTCTAAGCTGTGACATCAAAGCAAGACTCTTGCTATGTATGAGCTTACCTATTAGAATTTCAGTTTTGCAGTTGGTTGTTGATTGGTAGTTTAGCCTTCATGGGTTGGGACAAAACATGGCTCTGTCTGCAGAGTGTTAACAGCAGGGTGTTTTGTTTTGTTTTTTAGGGACGTTCCTTAGATGCTATTTGGCTTTAAGACCCATGTCCCAATAGCAATTCCCAGCAAATAAATGGGGGCATCTCTAAGAGCACATGGGGGCAATTGTATGTGCTCAGCATATCTGGTAACTTTTTATTTTTACTTGAATTCATCATAGAACATTGTATTGCTTGGCTTTTTTTTACATTTCTCTTTCAATTTTGTTATGGAAAGAACATTTAACATGAGATTTGCCCCTTTAAGTTCTTAATTGTACATTATTGTTGACTTTTAAGCAAAATGTTATACAACATATCTTTAGAGCTTTCAGTTTGCTTGACTAAAACTTTTGCTTGACATTTAATTACTCTACTTCAGTGTAATTTGTTTTTTTCTCAACATATTTTTTTGTAGAAGCAGATGACTGAACAGTTTATTTCTAAATCTTTATGACTTTCTGCATTTTCCTTCATATTGTCTTGATTAAAGACTTCATTTCTTTTCTTTTTTTTTTTTTTTTTTAGATTTATTTGTGCATACAGAACTGGGGTACAGGCCAGAGGCGCAGGGAGGGGGGTGCTAGGATTCACCAGAGACAGAGTGGTGAGCAGAACAGGCAGATCGACAAAGTACACTGCTGAGGGGAGAAGTGGGCGGGTCTGGAGAGGTCTGCTGAGCCATGTGGATCACCTCTGGGTCAGGCAGGGATCGAACTCATGTGGAAGTGGTTTTAGATTCTTAGTGCTGCGTTTTAACCCACTGTGCCACCAGGGAGAGCCCCCATTTTTTTTTTAAATTGTAGTTATAAGCTCTCTTTGTTAAATTCTCTTTACTTGAAAGAGTATTTCTTTACTTGAGAGAGTCTCAGAGATTTTCCTGACTTTAGTAAGAAATCTGTATACATGTGAAGTGTGTGTGGATGAGTGGTGTGTTTTTCTTTCTTTATCTTCTTAGCACTTAATATTTATGTCCTATTGTATCTAAATCTAAATTCTTTTGGCAAGAGGGAATATTTCCTGTTAGGGTTTTTTTTTTTCCCTTTTTAAGGTGACTTAAAGCCAGTTAGCAATTGTTTTTCAACGAGAAAAGCATTATTTTCTTAAATCTTTTTTTTTTTTTCAGTGTAGTCAGGACAGCTGGTTTGCACTCAATGAACATTTTTATTATTATCCTGACTTTTAGGACTTAATTCTCTTGTCTAAGATTCCATCAGCCCAGCTCTTTAATGAGTTCACTCAGTTATTTTACATGGATTAATCCTGCAGCTCAGACCATACCATTTAGCATTCATTCCTTTTTATCTTTCTTCCTGCAGTAAGATTCAGGGTTTACAGTACAAATTGTGTGGGTGTGTGCATGTGTGTGTCTTTTTTTCCCATTCTGAAATCCTAATTTATCACGCACTTGTGCTAGTGATGGACAATCTTTTTATACTGAAGGGTCATCCTGAATATCTTTATTTTTGACAGTTTATAAAATTTTTTGATGTTCAGGATTTCACGTAACTTTAAGCATATTAAGTAACTCAGAATAATTTGGAGACAGTAAGTTCTTCAGTCAGCCTATCTGATCTTATAAAAATAACTACTTATATAACTATATATAAAGTGTGCTATCCTATAAACTCTATGGGATATGCTATGGCTGTGCATCTTATGAACCTCTGAAATTTAAAATGCCAAATAATTTTCATGGGTAGTAAACATTGGTGAACATAGTTAATTTTTTAAAACTTTTAATCTGTGATGCAAATAATCCTCAGAATAATGCAGGAGGTGGAAGTATACTTTTTTGTATGTTTTTGTACATACATAGTGGGTGAGGACCACCTATCTATTAAATGTAAATCACGCCATAGTTAAATAGTTGTGCTGCATTGTACCATCTTTGCTATTTGCTCCTAGTAAATTATTCATTCTGTGTCACAATGTTTTCGTTTACACACTTTTCCTTTTTTCATGTCATATATCCAGAAGAGGTCAGCTGTGTTCTCCCCTGATCATACATGTTTTGGTCATGTCTGAGTTTAGGCTGTTTGGAAATGTTTAGCTCTTGATGGGTGGCCTCTGGACCTTCTTTTTAGGAAGAAGGTTGTGAAGAAGTTTAGAAACCAGAAAGCTTCTATGTGACTAATCAGTAGCCTGCTGCCATTCTTGAGAATTCTGATAATCTTTGCCACCCAAAGATTAGATCCTTCTTTGGGTCTTACTGAGACACTCAAAAGTCATCCAACTTGTTGTATTTTTTTTTTTCCTCCAGTGGGAGCATTTGGTTGTAGTTAGCAGGCCAGAATGAGCTATAAATAAATAAAATCCTACGGTGCTTGCTTGCTTCCTTCACTCAGGTAGTCTTGCTGATAAGATGCAAGCATCTGGCAGAAGAGAAGATTCTCAGCAGGTTTAAGTGCTTACCAAAGTGCTTTCCTGTATCCATGGCTCAGCGTCTAGTCTCTGCTGTGTTATTTTGGCACTCTAGGCTTGTAAGATGGGAGAGTCGAGTTTAAAACTCTCAGTATATCATTAGGGTAGCCCAAGGTCCCTTCTTGTCAAGGAAGTCTAGCTGACTCCGGTGGGGAGGAAAAGCAGAATCCAGGGCACCTGTAAATCCCTGTAGTTTTGTGCTGTGGGTTTGTAGCTAATTATACAGCAGACAACAGTAATGTGCTGTATCTCTGCTGGCATACTTGTTTCAGAAAGAGCAAAATCTTCCAGCAGAGCAAAGAAGGGGCTTTGGAGGGGCTGCAGATGAATGAAGCAATGATCATTTCATTGTAAACTAAACCTCTGCAGTGGAATGGGGGCATCTGAACTGCAAGGAGGTGGTGGGGGAGATGCCAGTAGAAATACATGGTTCGGATGTGTTTTACAGCTCTTGATTTGGATTCTCCTGCAGAAATACAGTCACGCAAGGAGACCACCACTGGTCACAGCCAGTCAAATTGCTCTTTTTCCTATGGTACTGCTGTTAGTAACTGCTAGTAGGTTATTCAGCCGACCTCTTCTGATTTTGCTTTGCTGCCTGATTTCAAAAGATTTGCCCTGTACTGGCTCTCAGTCTCAGCATGATGTAACTACTGCTTGTTTGCATGCAGCCCCATCATTTTCATATAGGGTCTTTTTTTCCCCTTCAAGTTAGAAGGCAAAAGAATCAGAAGCATTTTCATTTGATAAAAGATTTATGCAGGGCTAGCTAGAATCAAGCAAAATGAAATTCAGCTGGAAGGGATAGTAAGAGCCTCAGAGAACTTGTGACTGCCAGAGAAGTCAGTGTTCCTTAAATAAAGCGGGTTCGGCTAGGAGGCAGCAACTCTGACTTTGCATTCATATTGAAGTGGGCTCCCCAGCCATTCTAGGCAGGCAGATCAATAAAATCAGAGGTGACTTAATGCCAAGAACCTCAGAATTCAAAGGGTTTCTCTGTCCTTCTTTAAATTTATTTGATATTGATGTGGCGTGCTAGCCTCAGGAACTAAGATGAGAAAAAGCTTCATCTAGATTCTGTCTATGACAGTGTTGAAAAGTGTCCTCGGGAAGCGCCTGTTTAGTTTGTCAGTTATCACACCTGTAAAATGGAGCCAACTTATTTGCAGAAAAATGATTTTAATATTTATCAAAGCATTGTGAATGAGAACTCATTTTGATAACTGCTTTGAATTGCCTAAATAGAAGATGTCTTATGAGAACTGAACTCACATTCTATTTGTGTATTTGAAATGCAGTTGATTGCCTTATCAGAGATGGAGCAATTTGACTTATTTTTGCATGAGAATTTGCAGTGCAGTAAGGTAGATTCTACTTTATTTTTAGCTACATAAATGGTATATTTGACTTGTATATAATCTCTCCCTCGCTGGTTTATTTTTGTACAGATCATGTATCCAGATAGCTAGGATATTACGGTAGTCATATTGTTAAACTGATCAAGTAGCTCTTACATACGGTAAGAAAATACATAAATGGTCACTGTGGACACGGCTGAGTATTTACCTAGTAATAGTTTATCCTTCCTTCCCTGCTCATCTGTCTCCCTTACAGTCTCGCCGATTCTTATTCTACCAAAGAAAATAAACTGCCTCTACACTTAGCTCTTACATGAGTGATTTGGGGCCATTCCTTCAAAAACTAAAGATGTTGGGAGTTTTTATTCTTACCCCATGCTGTGTAGGTAGTGCACAATTCCCATCACAAAGCAGCAGGGGGCTCCCTATGAGAGCTGGAGAATTGCTGATGGAGAAGGGCTAGCTTTTTATTGGTAGTGTTCTTTTCAATTCAGGCCCTTTTCTACTGAAAACTTGGCCCTTATCCTGTGTATACTCCCTTAGGAATTAGAGTATAGCTAAGAAGCAGTGAGACCATTAGTTTAAGGAATTTGTTAACAGTCAAGGAAGATTATACCAGTTTCTACATTTCAGAAACCTAGATGGATGGAGCCTGAGATTGCTTTGGTTATAGGATTCTTCTTTCTGAACTGAGACTATGTGCCGGTGGCCCCTTTCTTTAGACTCCTTGGTATCTTATGAGGGGAAGACTTTCTTTCCTGTATTCTCATTAGCACCTACAGTTCTTTGCTTAGGTACATCTCACTCTGTTCCAGAATGTTTGCATGGTTTTTGTTTGTTGATGAAGACAAGTGCATTATAACTAAGGGTCTCTTGTAAAATGAAGCCCATTCCCCTGAGTGAGAGACTCAAAGAATCCAAACAGCAAAGACGCATTTTTTTGTACTCTGAGGTTGTTCTTGCTGCCTTATGAATTCACTCTGTGATACAGGTTTGATGCAAAGAGTATTGCTACTCACAAATCACACGAGGTATACAGTTTGTGTGCAGCGATATGTCACAGCATTTTATTTATATGGCCAACTCAGTCTATTCTGCTCCTTTCACTGCCATGGAAAGTGCATCATTTTCCTCCCTCTCTCCTCCTTCCCACATATCATCAGCACCACCCACTATGTTCTGCCCATTAAGTCTCCTGTGTGCCAGAAAACCCCAACAATGATTAAATGCTGATAAAAGAATGTTAGAAGGTTAAGATATCAACCAATCAACCCCTTTACAGTTTTCCTAAATGGTGGGTGGTAAGTATAACTTTGCCCTTTTAACATTGAAAATGCGGGGTTTTTGTTTTGGTTCTCAGTTGAGGAAATAACTGACAATCAGATTTTTTTAAAAAGGATTGGTGGCAAAGACCAAAAGAGAATGCAAGCTTGTCTTGCAGTTTTCCATTCTTATCCTAATCTTTCTTTCCTGATTTTGGCACATTCTCTATAGGAAATTCTAGAGCTAGCCAAATGTATGTAAGGTTTTATTTATGAGAGACCTGGGGTTTTTCAGCTTACAGAAACTTAAAAAAGTCATTATCCTAAACTTGTTTATTTAAAAAGTCTTAATTCTAACAAATCATACCACTCTAATCACAGTATCATTTATCGTTACATTCCTGCTTGACGTTCAGTTTCTCTCGGCTCCTGGAGTGTGGGCTGTCCCTCTTTTTTCAACACCACCACCACTCACTCCACACCCTGTCAATGGGCAGAAAAGTATGGTTAAAAGATTTTTTAAAAGGTAACTGGGAGCCCAGGTTACTGGGAGCTTGTAGGTCCATCACACATCCTAAAAAGCAATTAATGTAGAAGGGAGGGGTTTTGAAACTATCTTCTCCTCTTTGAAACATCTCTTCCCCCGCCCCACATTACACATTGAGTAAAACAGAAATAAGATTTTTTAAGATTCTCAAAGAATCTTGTCAAAAATTGCATTTCATGTTGAAATTTAAGATAATATATCATAGCATAGTACTTAAATAAATTGTCACTACTAGACATTACTTTTTTGTAATAGAGCAATATTAAAATCCATGGTAAATACATTTCGGCTTTTCCCATCAACAGCTGCGGTGGTGAGGTAGGTCAGAAGGCATGCCTCTTTGGAGGCAACCTGGGGGCTGAAGGGTCATGAGCACTTAATTATGTCTGCTGAATGCCAGAGCTGCCGAATTGGAACTTCTCACGACTGGTCTGTATCTGCTCTGACAACTCTTTTATTATGGCTTTCACTAACCTATCAGTAACTAACTGTGGTTGTTTAATTACAGAGGGAACATCCCCACGCTAAACAGGTACCGTATGTTTAGTTTCTTTTTAATTAAAAGTACCCTTTGGTAACTTAGAAGAGTGAAATTGGGGGAAAATTAACACTAGACAAGCTAATGTTATGTTTTGCTATGGAGTCCTGAGCTCCCCATTGGACGTAGAAAATTGTTCTTTCTGTTTGGAAAACATGTCTTCAGCTTTTCTTCAACTATTCAAAAGGCAATACTTGAGAACGCTCACTGTATAATAGGGGAGTTTGTCTACCTGATTTTCAGCTCTGCTGGAAATATTTTCTTTTACTAAGTTCTCTGTCTACATAGTATCCTAAATAATTTGTGGAATTTTTTTCAATTTTTAGTGTCTTTAATTTGCTTTTAGAGGAATACAAATGCAGAATAGCTGACCTCATGTTTTATCAGTTTTTAGCTATTTTCTAAAGTGTTGCCAAGATATGAATGTTAAATTTTATTTTAGACCAATAAAAAATTAACATGGGGAAAGTAGACGTAAGTTTTGATGTGTTTGGCTCTGTGAAGAGGTTTTCAGGCCAATGTAACACAACGAAATATTAGTTTTTTCAGTTCTTCCTGCTTCTGAGCCACGCAAGGCAATACAATGCAAGTTTGAGAGGATGACAATGCTGATGGAATTGAGTCATCAAAAACACTAACACAGTAGTAATAGCTCAGTGGCAAACTCTGTAGATGATCGATTGTACATTGAAAAATTTATAAATTTATTTTGCCCTGCTCCCTTTACATAGTGTTATCAAAACTGACTAAGTGTTTAGAGTTCAGTTTGGATGGCAAGAGGATAGGGAGAGCATTTGTTTATAATCTTCCTGTCGCTCTTGGAGAGTGGGCTGGGTTCACCCTGCCTGCCTGTAGCTGTCCTGGCCCATGAGCAGACTAGTGAGAGAAACTGAATAGTGGGTATTTCCTATGGTTCAGTTGAATGAAAAAGCTTTTTAATCCCATGTTTGGCAGAAACACAGCCTGTTTGCTTTTTCCAAGGGTGTTCCCTTAAATATTATCTGGAGCCTTTTATCTTTCCTAGTCTTATGCCAGGCCAGTAGAGAAGATTTAATGCCTCACAAACTTGCTCCTTTAGTAAACATTACCTGGTAATCTTAGAAAAGAGGGTGACAATAGTATTCTGAGTTCCTATAACTCTGAACCCAGTTTCTAGTGGGCAGCTGTGTAAGACTTGCTTGATATGTGTTTCATTTGTTTGTTTCATCCATAGTATCAGTGGTTTCCTCTCCCACTCTGCCTTTTTCATAATCTTCATTTGCTAACGGAGTAAAAACCAAGAGTGTCAATCTCTATAGTCTGTGTGAGCAGCACTTCCATCCTCTTAAAGTTCCATTGCCTTTTTTAGCAATAGAGGACAGCATGTGCTCGGATCTCAAGTTCACATTGCTGGTTCTCTTCCCCCTGCCGCACGCAGGTGGGATACATTCAGAACAGGTGCCATTGCCTCACTCTGAATTTGCTTCAGATCAGGATGCCAGTAACATGTCAGGCCAGTCCTGGAGACGCCCTTGAATTTGGTCCTTCCCAACAGGCTGTCCTGATGGCTGTGCATTCAGAGCACTATCTAGTATTATTTTATCAGCACATACCACTGAGGTACATCAAGGATTGTACAGACTCATTCCGTGTTTAGAGTGAACAAATCAGTTTGGTTCTCTTTGAGCATCTCCATTTAGCCCCTACTTGTGATGCTTACACATACTTTGAGACCCATGCTCTGCCCTTTGGTATCTTGTGGGGAATCTTTAAGGGCCCTTGATGAACATGTCTTTGCTTTGGCATAGAAGTATTTAAATATAAAAAGGAATTTTTGCAATTTGGGGTTGGAAAAAAACACTTCTTTCAAAAAGGGAAGAGCTATAATCCTAATAACTGCTATTTTAATCAGCCTGTTACAGGAAAAAAAAAACCTTTTAAAATTCCCTTTTATAGACTGCAACTTGTTTCCATATAATAATGTTGTTTATAATGATTTACTAAACCATTGCAAATGACTTAGTTGTTGTTGTACAAGCATATATATCTCTCTGTAAATACTTAATCTATTATAATTCCTAGCGAAAATTGCCTTTAGTGTTGCATATTACAGCTCACTTGGCTTGCTTCCTTTTTTTAAAAGAGGGAAAGGGAAGGAGAGGATGCAGGATGGTTTTTAACCCTTACATACTATCCATTTATTAGACATATCATTGTATTAAAATTTCCATGAAATTGTAAACAGCCCTTTTTTATTTGGGCAAATTGGAGGATAATAAAAATATAATTCGGGCTGGGGAAATGCCAGTGAAAAAGTTAATGAGAATCAAAAAGACAGTCTTTTCCATGGTGGGTGAAAAACCAAATCTGCTCTGCAATCTGACCCTACATTAGTTTATTCCTAGCTCCTTTTATCTATTGTTACTCTCTCAATCCTAGCTCCTAGTCTAATGAACTTTATTGAATTGTCATTTAGAATGTCCTTCTCCTCCAACCTCAACCATTATGGCATGACTCATGTAGCCAGTGTCAGCGATGTGCTGCTGGACAACTCATTTACCCCACCATGCCAGCGAATGGGTGGCATGGTCTCTTTTCGGACTTTTGAAGATTTTGTCAGGTAAGACACAGTGGAATGGTGTCTATACAAGAGGAGGTATGAGCGTTTGTGCTTTGGGGTATCCAGTTTTTGCCAGGTGAATAAAGATCCATAGAATAGCCTTGAGCCAATTAAGAAGATGCAATCCTTACCCATGGTGTACACTCTCAGAGAGGTATATCCTTCCATTCTACCTCTCATTCAGACCCTACAAGCCTCTACTTGTCATATGAGCCTGGTCAGAAAAAAAGAAACAAACAAAAAACATCTTTTCCTTAGGAGCTCACAGAAGAAGCTGTCTGCTCTGTGATGAGTGAAATGTCAGGAGAAATTAAACACAACACTAGAGTGAGCCCCACCAGAGACGATACATCTTTTGATTAAATGCATTCAGCATCTACCTCTTGATGTATACTGATGCATTACCCTAGGGGGAGGGGTAATTACATTGGTCTGTCACTGCTCCAGTCCCAGGCTCTTTCTGTTACTTTAAGACTGATGATGACAGCAGTGCCCATATCTTACATATGGAAAAAAAAAAAGCTTTAGATCATTTTTTTAAAAAAAAGAAAAATATATATATGGTTTATTAAAGTTTAAACAATCCATCCTCCTAATTTTTGCCACTTGCTGAAATTTTGCATGTCACCTCTAGCCACTGGTGAGCCTATTCAGTCGACTATTGAACATGGGCTGGGACATATCATTCTTTCAGAGTGGGCTGGTAATAGCACGGTTAGTTTCCTGCCACTTAGGTTTTCTGCTGCTTGGGTTTTCATGGTGGGTGTTTCTCTGGTGTTTTTCAGGATCTTTGATGAAGTGATGGGTTGCTTCTGTGACTCCCCACCCCAAAGCCCCACATTCCCCGAGGCAGGTCACACATCTCTATATGATGAAGATAAGGTATAGTGTCTCCTTTAGGAGACTGCTTTGTTCTTTCAGACCCTGGATTTGTACTATACACTGTCTGGCTTTGGAACTTGACAGGGAAGAATGCATCTTTTTTTTTTTTCTCCCCCCCCCTTTTAAAATTATATTAGTTTATTTTTACATATTTTTGTGCATTTTTCCATCTCAGAATGCATCTTTTTACCCTAGTCTTATTGTTTAATTTCGTGTAGCTCATCAATGTGATTTTGGAAACAAGTGGAATATAAGTTCTAACCTGAAAAAAAAAAAAACTACTCAGACTCCACAGGGTAGAATGAGCTCAGCTGTATCCACTGCAGCTGCCGTGGGTTTCTAAATATCATTTTAAATTCTTGAAATTTGGTTGCTTTAGTTTTAATTAATGGTGCTTGGTTACTTGCTCAGAGAGGCTATCACATTCTTCATGAAATGGTCATTTTAGATAGCAGAAAGTATAAATTTATTTTAAACTTTATCCTTTTATAAATTCTTTTCATTTCTTAGTATACAAATTGTTCAGTGTTTTGTTTGGTTTTTTCCTCCTACCAGGGTATTTTCCCATGGTTTGATAATTCTGCTGTTTGACAGATTTTTAGAGAATATATTATGTAGGAATATGTTCAGATGGTTTCCTTCACTCACTTTTTCTTCACATTCTGTAAAGAGATATAGCAGATGGCTTTGTTTCCATTTTATTGGTGGAAAAGCTGAGATAATTGGTGTGCATCAGGTTCATGTCAAGATTTGGAGCCACTCCAGCTAACGCCTTTGCTACCTTATTTTGTAAAAGTTTGATGTTCTACTTTGTTTAGTCTTTCTTAGGACTGTTGGGAAGTGGTTTCAATTTGCTATTCCTACATGTGGGCACACCAAAATGTCTAATGAGGGTCACCTCCTTTTCAGGTGTTTTACCAAGTACTTTAACTCTTCTCTGTGCCTGGAGTTGCTGGTCTCATAATTTCTTATGTTCCTGGGTTACAGGTCCCCAGAGATGAACCAATTCACATTCTGAATGTAGCTATCAAGACTGATGGTGATATTGAGGATGATAGGCTGGCAGCCATGTTCAGAGAATTTACCCAGCAAAATGTAAGTCCTCAATTGGGTGGTAAGTGGTGGTAGCCCCTTTGCTGCTGACTACATGTTTTGTCTGTCTATCCATTTACCAGTTGTCACTTGTAAGGCCTATCACTAATAAAGACTCTTTCTTTTGCATAGTTCTGCCTGTAGGGATACAATTCTAAGGTGACTCAATAACACATAATAATTCTTTTTTTTTAAGATGTATTTATTTATGCATACAGAACTGAGGTACAGTCCAGAGGTGCAGGGGCGATGAGAGGATTCACCAGAGACAGAGTGGGGAGCAGAACAGGCAGATCAACGAAGCACTCTGTTGAGGGGAGCAGCGGGTGGCTCAGGAGAGGTCTGCCACTCCATGTGAGTCACCTCCGGGGCAGGGATTGAACTCATGCTGAAGTGGCTTTAGCTTCCTAGTGCTGTGCTTTACCCTGCTGCACCACCAGGGAGGGCCCAAATAAATGTTTTAAGGAAGGGAAGTTGTGTTTCTAAACCTTTCCATTCTTAAACTTACATTCAACCTGAATATTTGTTCTTAGTGGCTAAATTTCATATGTCTGTACCCCAGCTTTCCATAAGTCCCTTTGTGTTCTTCCCACCTCTCCCTTGAAAATATCAGTTATATTTCCATCCTCCTCTCAATGTTGAGTTACTTGGATATCTGAAGTGTCAAATTCCATAGTTTAAATTCCTCTATTCCCCTCCCCAAACAACCTCTCCCAAATAAAACAAAAATAAGAAAACCCAAGTCACCAAACCATTTACCCCCAGTCATTCCGCTGTCACTGACTTCTTTCTTTTTCTTGCTGTTCTTTTTTCTGCCCCTCTATCCAGAGGTACAAATTTTTTTTTTATATGGTTAATTGCCAAAGCCTGTTAGGTTTTTTTTTTCTTTTTTAATCGATTCACATCCTTTCTTTCTCCTTTGCAGTTTTTTTTAATTGCCATTGCCATCTCTCTAGTTTAAACCCTTACTACACACCAAGATGCTGCAACAGGTTTACTTCTGAACTACCTACCTGCTTTCATTCTCCCTCTCCAGACAGATCCCAGTCTGCTCAGCACCATAAAACTAAATGTCCAAAAGGCTTTCTTTTGGGACATTTACTTTTGTGGTCCTGAGCAGAATGGGGTCAATTAAGCTTTTTATGCCACTAGCCTCTGTGGCTGCCATGTACCATTAATGCAGATGGCGCTTGGGAATGTGTGTGCAGGCACAGGTGCTTGATTGTGGACACCTAGAGCATGGGTGTGAGCATACGTAAGTGTGCACACCTGAACCCCGAGATCAGGACTGTAAGGGTGGACTCAGGAGTGGCTGTCAGGAGAACAGCTGTGAGAGGGTGAGTGACTGCAGGAGAAGTGAGATCATGAGAGAACACCAGAGAGAGCCCAGAGAAAGAGCAAATATTCTCAGGGGGTTTAGGGGCTAGGTTGCCTCCCAGCCCCTCTACCTTGCCAGCCTACAGGCTTGCCATAGCACCTTGTTATTTTCCCACTCAAAAATGAGTCTTTCATCCTTCAGGGTATCTACCTCCTTACCTTAATATTTAGCATCAAGGTGCTACACTCTAGAAATGAGGCCTAGCAATCTAGCTTTCACTGCTCTGTAAAACGACCCAAATCTCGTCTCATCCCTTTTGTCTCTTCTGCTCTCCCTTGCTGGAGTTTTCCTTCCCCTTCTTCTTCTCTCCCTTCATTCCTTCCTTTCCTGAATCCTGCTTATTTTAAGAACTATCTCAAATTTCACCTCTTTTATAATAAGGATTTTCCTTAGTAGTTCTAACTATAATGTATCCTTTTCCTTTGAATTTCTAATCAGTAAACTGTAATTATTAGCAATAGAAATATTTTTTACTTATAAAAAGCTTGCATGTAAATTTTTTTTATGTGCAACCCATGATCCCATGGGGTTAGCCAGGAATTATTCCAATTGTACATGTGTGAAAAAGCTCAAACTCAGAGAGCTTAAGGCCCTCTGATCGTCAACTGGTAGTAATGGTACAAAGACTAGAATTGAAAGTTTTGCTAAGCTCTAGGGAGCACAGATCTAGGTGTTTCAGTAAATTACACATTCATAGCCCCGAAGATGCTTATAATGTAGTTTGGGGTACTGGTGGACATGCCCAAAATCATAACCTGCTGTTATGTTTCATCATGATAGATGATAGATACCAAAGTGCCTGTCTTCAACTAGCCTTAATGACAAGACCAAAGTTTTTTCTCTGAAGGAAAAACACCTGCCTCTAGTGCTGGTTATAGAGACAAAGCTTTTTTTAAAAAAAATTAATTCAGAAGAATATATAATTATTGCCATAGGCATTCATATCATATAGTGCTAATGGTACTCAGGAAAAATTTGAAACTTGGTAGTGAGTGTATTTACTCCATGGTGCTCTCATAGCACATAAACTGACTGCAGGATTGCAGTAGCCAACATGAGGAAAGGCAGCTCAAGAAAAGTGAAAGGAGGAGTGCCTTCCCTGAGAATTTCTCTTTAGAAATTTACTTTCCTTTTGGCACTTGAATAGTGGCTTTATCAGATGACCCTGAGACCAGTGACCTTGGAAACCTTAGAGGGAATCCTAATGTGTTGACTGCTGCTGCTGCTTCATGAACTCTATGAATGCTTATTCCTAGGTTTCAAGACCCTTATTGCCTGTACTTGATTATTTTCACATTAACTTTAGGTTTTTTATTACCTTCAGATCTAAGTAGTATATGTCATTACATGTAGGTTTAAAGAGGCAGTTTCCTCATTTTTACTACATATGTTTGTTAACATTATTTGGCAAAAGAATGAATTTTTTTCTTTACTGGACTTGTAAACTGAGGCACAGAGAAACCCTAAGGCTGTTCAGAAGTGTGAGGGTAGGTGGATGTCAACATTCTAGGAACAGAGAAGCCATTAACTGCATCAGGTGATGTGGTTATCCAGAGTATTTGGCATTTTCACCTTGTTATGTGTGTGTGTGTGTGTGTGTATGTGTGTGTGTGTGTGTGTATAAAAGAAAAGGAAGGAAAAGCAATTTTAAAAAAGAAGCTGAAGTGATAACTAGTTTTGTTTTTCACTTTGTGATCATGCTTCTAGCAGTTAAGAACAGTTTTTTGTTTTTTTTTTTTAAAGCACACATTAAACTATCAAATAGGTTGGTCCAAATTGTCCAAATAATCTTCTAGTCCCAGCATGTCTTTTTTTCTCTCATAGAAATTAGGATCATATATTTGTAAATGACTTGTGGAGGAGATTGAAGCAGTCAGTGTAAATGGAGTTTCTCCAGGTGCTGACGCCTAATCGCTGGGTAATAGCTGTGGACTTGCTGTGAGACCCGCATTATTACAATGTAATCAGAATCCTGTTGCTCTGCTGTTATTGTCAGCCACTTGTGGAATTTTAAAAGCAATAACAATTTTGATTTTAAATCATGGCATTATTAAAGTTATTTTCTTCCCTTGCCAGAACATAGCTATTGATGCTTGTCTTTGAAGGACTTGGCTGTAGTGGAATTCTTTGTTGTTGTCAGAAGAAATGTTTCTGTACCTGGGTACAATGAGAGACTGAGAACTAACACTACCCCACCCCACCCCTTTCTTCCAACAGAGATTTTTCCTATTGTGATATTAGTACTTTGGCTATTTATACTAATGGATATGATATCAATATAGGTCATTTTTAAGTGCGCTGAAACCAAAATTGATTTACATTTGATCTGGGGCTTCCAGGTATCTTTTGCTTATGCTGTTGTGTATGACTGCTGATGCTGCTAAGCAGTGCCGTGGTGGAAATGAAGAAATCTGAAAAATGGCGAGAATACATTTGTTTTTAAGGGAGACTAATTTGGACTTAAAATTTTTAAATATATAATGCTGTAAAGGTTAAGAATTGGCTTATAGGTATCTCTTGGTTCAAATTATAGCAAGGAATGTGGTCAAACTAAATTCTAGGATCTAGATTGTAAAAGTCCACAATTTGTTTCTCCTTGTGTTAATTATATTTTCTCTGGACATCAACTGGTGGATTTGCCTTTCTACTCAATGTCATGTAGCCCCATTTTGTTAGAGATCTTCAAAAGCATGTGTTTTAGACAGCTAATTAGTTTATTTCTTTCTCTCTCTCTTTTGAGATAAGTGAGCAGTACAAGATAGAGGGAGCTTAGACCCAAAGGCCTAAGACTAGGCTGTTTTGAGGCTGCTGTTTTCTGTTGACTTTTAATATCCTGCTCACCTATGCCAAGTGATGATATTAATAATCAACAACTTTAAAAGTCTGTTAAGTGGCCCTCCCTGGTGGCGCAGCAGGTTAAAGCACTGCACTAAGAAGCTAAAGCCACTTCCTCATGAGTTTGATTCCCGCCTGCCCCGGAGGTGACCACATGGCGTGGCAGACCTCTCCTGACCCGCCCGCTGCTCCCCTCAGCAGTGTACTTCATTGATCTGCCTGTTCTGCTCCCCACTCTGTCCAAGGTGAATCCTCTCACCCTCCGCATCTCTGGCCTGTACCCCAGTTCTGTATGAATAAATAAATAAATCTTTAAAAAAAAAAATTAAAAAAAAAAGTCTGTTAAGCATTGCTTTTGACAATTTTTAAACAATCTGTTTTAAAAATACCTTTATGTAAAGCAAGGGAGGAATGATACACAAGAGCTGATATGGTCAACAGTTGTCAGACTGAATTCTGTGAATGCTGTATCTGACACTTATAGTTGTAATCTAAACAACAACTTGGGATCTGAGTTTTCTGTTTTATTGGAATTTCTTCTTTTCCCTCTACTTGGCTTTATTTAGCTTCTATTAACAGTATTATTCCGCACATTTGAATACATACCTATCAGTATAATTTCTATAAGCAGAAATTATATTAAGATTTATTTTGATGTAAATCGGCCCTTCCTTAGGGCTTTTGATGACCTCCTCTGACCCTTTCTCTTTCCTCATTTTTCTCTTTCAATTCTGTCTATACCAATATAACCTATTTCACAGGACATAGTCCCAGATGCCAAGTTGAAATATATTTATTTGTAAGTTAGAAGGCACTGAACCAAGGTACAGATAGGCAAAAAGGGTGCTTAGCCCAATTATGAAGACTGAGTGGGGTAAAATTTAGGATGCATGGAGAACGCCTCTATCTTCTGTTTTTTACATGTTTGTTTCTAGAAAGCTACCCTGGTTGAACATGGGATAAGGCGCCTTACTTTCCTGGTGGCACAAAAGGTATGTGAATTATACTGTCTAATGTTTCTGAATGCTGCTGTTAGAAACTTCTAAAACTAAAAAATGAAGTTATAATCATATGTTTATTTGTAGAATTTGATCAGAGAAATAACTGTTTTTTCTATAAATTAAAGAAAACATTAGTTTAATTCATCACTTTTTACTCATTTTGTTTTTAATTTTCATACTAATTGCCAGCTTCTGCTTCTCCTTCCTTTCTTTCATTTGAAAGGATTTCAGAAAACAGGTCAACTGTGAGGTGGATCAGAGATTTCATGTAAGTAAAAGGAACTGTAATGAAAGATTATTATTGTTTTATTTGTTTGCCATTGATTATTTATTTAATTTTGTGATTGATTATTTAAACACTGAATATGTGTGGGTTCTTTAGAAGGACTGGCTTGATGCCCAGTCCCTCTTCATTTAGGAACTATTACAAAGGATAATCAATTCTTTATAGTGTTCAAGTTAAAAGGCTTTTTTACCCTATAATGAAGTCTCAGTTCCTCTCTGAGAAATAGTTAAGAATGAGCATATGCATTTATCTAGATAAATAAGGTAGAAACAGGAGCTAACTAGTAATTTTTCTGTGCACAGAGTGAATCAATAATGAGGAACTGCCTTTTACACTTTAGAGTATCTGTTTCTACTAAGGAGGCATTCAGGTTCAAAACTGAGAATTGTCAGTTTTGAAAAATGATCATTTATTAATTTAAATACCTACACAGAGTTTGTCTTATATTAATTCTAGAACAAGAGATAAATTAAAATTAAGCGTTAAATTGCTTGTTTTCCCATTAACTGAATTAACCATTAACATTTATGAGGTTAAAATTTTTATGGAAAATAAGTTAATAACCTGGCATCTGAACTTTGGTATACTGAAAGGCTCAGACCTAGTCTGATGATTGCAATAAGGCCAGAAATCCAATTTGAGATCAGAAGATCATTCTCTAGAATGACTGGTTATAGTAAAAGTATTTCTTTAAAAATTGATCCTAATGTCTCTAAAGTGAGAGTCCAGTGGCTGTTAGGAAGTCTTAGCTTTCCTGATAAGAATTGTATTTTATATTGTTTTGTTTTAACAATTAAGATAATTATATTAGTTTTCAAGCCCTGTCATTTGTAATAATGAAGAAAACATTTGGGATTCTGGAAAGGACTTCCTAAACTCAAGGACCAATGTGTGATTGCTTTTGTTGCCCTTTTATTTATTAGGTCTCTAGTACCTGACATTGTGTTTTCCTTCTCACCTTGTTGGTTTAGTCTATAGAGAAGCAAGAGCCTACCCTGCAATCCAAAGAACTGGAGTTTTCTGAAATGCTTTAGGAAATGTTGTGGACTGTGTGACTCCCTTGTGTTATTGATGTCAAGAAATCAAGCAAAGTGCAGATACATATCAATCAACTTCAGATAGGAAACTAGAGGCAGTGGAGTAGTATGAGGAGCTTAAAGAGAACCCTAGGGCTTTAGGGGAAAAAATCAGGAGCTTAAAGAATAAAATTGATACATGGTGATAGACTATGAGAGCCCATGAATAAATACTAGGGCTGGTAGATGCTGATCAGAATAAGGTAGACATGCCAGAAGCAGGCCCTGGATTTAGAAGAGTATTGGGCTAGATTCTTAAGCATTAATGTGATTTTTCTTTCTTCACTGACTTTGGAATAATGTATTATTCTAGGGAATAATATTGAATTTGTCGCATTGTTTTTCCTGATTGTTCACATGGAGTCTTCAGGAGTTCATTCAGCACACTGACTCATTCCTATGAGAAACATTCCTTGATAAAACACTCCACTAAATTTTGAATGTTTCACACATACAGAAATAAAAACCTCTCTCTTATCTCAGAATCATTGTCATGTCCTAGGGTTTATTTATAACTTTCAAATGTTTCTTTTCCCTGTTACTCTAATATTTCTGGTTTTAGACTTAACAGGGACATGGGTAAACAAAATCTGACAGGAAATGAGTCTTCTTCAGAAATCATTGTCCAGTTCCTATTTATAGTGGCACCAAGTAGAAAATCAGTTGAATTACCATGTGACTTGATATGAGTTAGGAAAGGTTTCTTCAGGGTGTAGAAAACATTAAGATTTTAAAGCATTAATGTGTAGATCGGATTTGCTCTGAAAAACTGAATGACAGAGGAGTTGGGGTGTTCTGGTGTCAGGCCATTTAGAAATGATTAGTAGTTACACAGTGGGTAAGGGCAGCTATTACTGAACTATAACCATGCTCTGCGATTGCCAGGAAGCCTTGGCAGGAGTTGTACAAATCCGGGGCTCACTGTCATGGCGCTGCAGCAAGTTCCTCTGCTGGTGGTAGCTTGCCATTCATGAAGGATGCTTAGCCTCTGTCATGTCGTGTGACGTGTGCTTGCCCCATAGTTAGTGTAGTGTGAAAAAGAGGAAGCTTTCTGGGAGTGTTAGAGATGAATCCCTTGATCTCTCTGGCTTCTTGGTAATCCACTGTGATGTATGCAGCCTCCCCTGTTCTCCCCTGTGAAATCCCTATATTATTGAATGGAAGAGAGAATGTGAACATGACGGGGCAGGAGAGGAGGAAGGTTACCTAGTCTGGTTCAAGAACAGCATTATCCGGTGTGGGGGAAGCTGCTGTGCTATTGCATTGTCTACTCTCAGGCTGCTTCAGACCAGAGTGAGGCAAATGAGGGCCAGACTAGAGTTTCCTAGCGAGCGTGTATATTGTGAGTGTTTATTCAGATGCCAGTGTATGCTTTTCCAAAGCATCGTCATTTAATCACTACGGTCCCCAGATAGCTGTCCAGTGTAACGTCTTGAATACATGGAGACTCTTCTGAGCTGGCGATAGTCATCAGCATTAAGGAGTCTGGTGTTGAGTCTGTTTCCATAACCATCTAATTAAATCATGTGCCCGTAACGGGGCTTGCATAACTGCTTAGCATTGGTATTTAAACAGAAAATTTGAGAACAAATAAGTCAATTCCTGTAAATATCACTTTTATGTTAAAAAAAATAGTGAAATCTTGAAAGCAGAAGACTGAATTTCTGCAGCCCTAAAAGCTGCAGCTGTTTTTATGAAGTGTTAAGTCTGTTCAGTCCACTCACATTTTAGATTACGAAAAGTGCAGCAGAAGCGCTGCTGAATTGAGATATAAGTATTATATATACTTTTTGAAGCTTTCCACTTTTTTTTCAAAAAAATTTATTAAGGATAACAAAATGAGGGTTTTCAGGGTTTCTTTTTTATCCTTTGTGACATATCAAGAACATCAGGTGTAAAACTGTGGTTAAGATTCTAAAGCAGTTTTTCAGCTGTTAAGTTTCCTTTGTTTCCTAGCTATAAGATTTTTAAAGTTATGTAATAAATCACAGAGGAGGTAGTTGCTTTATTGATTAAACAGCAGCTACTCCCATATTAAAATTAAATTTTGGATTATCTGGACTTGAAGGAGGAGCCCACTATCAAAAGTAGTTCATTTATTTAAAAAAATTAGCAATATGTCAATTATACATCTCAATAAAGCTGGAAAAAATTGGTAGTTCTTTTTGCTAGTGGATCAACTATTAGCTTTTCAGAAGGTTTGGATTTTTGTTTTAATTACAGTCTATATAATTAGTTCTCAGCATGTTGAGGTAAAAGAGAATTGCACCAGCAAGCTTCCAATTTCTTCATCTCATTAGGTTTTTAACACGATTATTAGTATCATAATCAGCTATGATGTTTTCTGTTGCAGGTTTTCACATTCTCTGATTTGCAGGGTGTCTTGATTGGCTAATTTAGGCAAATTATTTTGATTGTCTTGATGATGGTTGGTTGATTAGAACACAGCAGGGGTATAATTTCTTCCTGAGAAATGTTACATTCTTTTGTTTTTGGGTACCAGAATGCTAAGAGGGATTTTCTTTGTGTACATTCAATTATGATATTTGCCCATAACACTAGTAGAATGCCTGGAAAGCAATTACATTAGTGATGGAGTAAGCACGAATGCTGTTAGTAGAAAAACTGACAGTATGTGGATGAGGTAGGATGAAGGAATTGACTAAAAGTATAGGATTAAACTTTTTAGTTTCTTCTTTTTTGTGTTTCTGTGAATTTTGAATGGCAAAAAGGTGAATTTCTTTAAGTCTTCAGACTTCCATATCTCCCAAAGATTTATCATTAATCCTGCTTTCTCACTGCACAGAAGTTCTTGACCTCTCCTGTTCTGAGTGCTTCATACTGAAATTGAGCACTTTAGTTGATTTAAGCTAAAAATTTACTGAGTTAAAAAAAAAGTTTGCTAACATCACATCATAACACCTTTTTTTAGCTAACATTAATGAAGTGGTTTTTCTGATTGGTGTTTTTTGTCCACCTCTTCCAAGAATAAGTTTCTTTCATTATTCTAGTAAAGGTGTAAAAGTATTTCCATTCAAATTGTTTGCTTGTTATGCCCCTTAGCTACTACAAATTTTCTTATTGGTTTAGTGGTAAAGAAGGCATTTTTTGGTTGTTATTTTTAGGTTTTGGAAGGAAATGATTTTGATCCTGCAACTGTATACACTTGAATTAATGTGTGCTAAATAACAACTTGGTTAATTAATTGTTGTGGGATAATAAAAGAGTGTTATTTAAAAGATTGTATTATCACTTTGCTTAGTTTTTCTTTCAGAAGTTCCATGGAAGGATTTTACCACTCTTCCCTTTTTGACTTGTGTTACTTTCAGCTAATGCTCTGAAAGCCCTTACTCTCAAGAATAAAACCCAAACTAGACTATATAAAGCCATGAGCATGAAATCTACTGACAACTCAGCTCAACATTTTCCTGCTTCCCCTTGAAGTCATCCCCATGTTCTTCACTATCATTCAGGGGAATTAGAGAATTATTTAGAATAGAAACATCACTGAGCAGTCGTGTGGTGTAAAGTCTGCTTTCAAAGGGCTTTTTAAAGACCCATGCCAGGACAGCGGGCTTCCCAGCTTGCTAAACAAGCTCCTTAGAAACCTGTTAAACACAGTTGTACAGTTGTGCCACAGAAAACATAAAAAGATTCATTAACCTGAAAACTTGAGGGAGAGTGAGGGAAGGAAGACAACACCTTGGGGAAAGTAATTGGGAAATTCTCAGTAAATTTGAGAACCCCAGTTTTTTTAGGGTGTTTGCCTTTTTTTTAATTTTCTTTTTTGCCTTTTTTCTTTAAAGTCTTTATTCCTGTCTTCTGCCCTCTAAATAAGGGAAATCCTCTAAATAAGAAATTTGGATTTTAACAAGAGTAGAAAGATGGTATCCTACACTGGGAAGGTAGAGTAGGAGAGAGGCAAAAGGGCGTGGGCTCTGATATCAGAGGGGCCCCGGTTCATATTCGGGCTCTGTGATCCTTGGGAGGGTTATCGCTTAGACAGGCTTCTTCAACTGCATGATGGGGTCAGGTCACAGTATCTACCTTGAGAGGTGTGGAGAGCAACACATGGACAAGATGTGTGAGCACCTGCCACCTGCAGGCTTTCGGTTTGTGTTTCCTTCATGTTTCTGAAGCTTATGGAGGGCGATTTAGGCAGCAAGTCTTGGTCTCTCTGCCTTGAACCAGTAAGTGTTTGATTATATTGTACTCATAATGAAGAAGATGCCTAATGAAACCTCCCATAGAGGCAAATAGTAATGACTTGATTCCAGCACTGCCAGTAGAGCTTCCCATCCGAGAAACAGGGGTATTTGGTGTTAATAAGTTAAATTTCAGAAACTAATGGACTCTGCTAATTGAATTCATCTTTGTTAATTAATAAGGTTCTAGTAAATTGGTTGCTTTCTTGTGTAATGCCCTGCAAAAGAGCAGTAAGACCTAATGATTACAAGTTCATACTTCCGTCCTATTCTTTCCTTTACATAGAGTGGTAGTAGTGACCAGTTATCTCCTTGTGTTTTTCTTTGTCTTGAGATGTTATTGTTTTTCAGACCCTTGAAATTATTGACTTGAAAGTGGATGTGGAAAAAACATGGATTGGGGATTCTAGGCTGTCTGGCTAGTTTACATTTTAAGAGTTTCTTAAGGAGAAACTTGGGAAATCAGTCAGTAACTACTATTGTAATGGCTGCAGCATAGGGTATATTGGTTTTATTTGCTAGGTTGTGGCAAGCGCAACATCCAGGAGGATTTTTTTTTAAAGTTGGTTGGTGAAAAATACTATTTTTTCCCCTTAGGGAACGGGTGGCTATTGAAGTTAGGCTAATAGTGTGGTGATTCTCAAATTTGGAAGTAGGGTCAAAGTGATGGTTACCCAGAGGATCATTCCTATTCCCTGGGCTAAACTTAGGTAAGGAACGTGCTTTCTAGGAAACTGTCTTCTAGATGCTTGACTGTTTCTGTACTATGTGTTTATCCCCAAAGAGCCGTATCTGTGAAGGACTGACACATTTTCCCATCTTCTTTAACACAGAGAGAATTCCCTAAGTTTTTCACATTCCGAGCAAGGGATAAGGTAAGAAGTGATTCATTCCCTCTTTTATTTAAAAAAAAAATTTTTTTTCCTTAAACGCCTATGAGTAGCTTATCTTTACCATCTATTCTTCTGGCCATTTTTTTCTCCAATGGAACTTGTGCTTCCCTTTGTCTTACATGTTTCTTAGAACTGAAGAAGACTCCCTTCTAAAAAAATTTGGTTTAGGAAACAATCAAATATATTTCCCTATCCAAAGTGATAACTTTTAAAATCATCCCTATGCATTAAGACAGCCCTGTGATGCGATAGTAAAGGACTTCTACACATAGTAGGATCACTTTTGTCACCTGCAGACAGTCCATTTACACTCAGGTCTGTTTATGTGCATTTAATTCTCAATTTTAAAATATAAATTTCAGGCCATGTTGGAATCTTCCTGTTAGCAGCTATTCTTTTGTCACATTCAATTGACCTATACTCTGGAAAAAGATTTTAATTCCAGCAGTACATACAGTAATTGTACTGATACTTTTTTTTTTTTTTTTTTTTTTTTTTTAGAAGACGG